TAAAACTAACTGGTCGGTATATCGCTCTGAAGTGACCCGCGCACGCCAAGTTACACGCCGCCGGAACGACCTCGTAAAGAATGCCGACTGTAACGCGGGGAAACGGTGTAGACGCCCTCCCCACTCTATTAATATTCATTGTAACGCGAATAGCACGGTAAATTGTTGTTTAAATGTCATTTGCGTAGCGGCCGCCGATCGTTCGTAACGTTTACCCAATCGCGCGATCGTCCCCGAAAATCCGATAGCGGCCGACCGTTATGTAAATGGCGGACGACTCCGCCGAGCCGCCATTGCGTCGGTCGACCGGCCCGCCGTGCGTTTCCTCGAGACTCCGCCGTCGGACTCTTCGACTCCAGTTTGCAGCATTGTAAAGAGCAATTGATCGCTCTCTGTTTCTTTGATGCTTTCTTTCTTTGTATTTCTCTCCGTTCAGATTCCGAAAATGCGTCTTTCCGTTCTCCGTTCCTCAATTTCGAAATGACCGTTTCGTTCTCTGAAATACTGCAGTATTTCATTTCTATGAAAAACTGCGCGCACCGGGGATTGAAACGAAGTGAGCAAAATTAACAGATTCGAACGATCGCGCGTAATATTTCCCTCGAGCGTTCACCGTACCAGATAACTGGGGCCGGGATATTTCGCCGGAATATTGTAAACGACGAATCAGCAACAGCGCGGACGCGTCACTTAGTGACGTTTATTCGATGATGTATTTGTTTCGATACGGTCGTTTAATGGCAAAGAAAATAGAGGGAAAAAGGAACGGCGTGGATAAATCGAGACCGCCACTTCATTCATCTTTCCTATTTGCCTTTGTTATTCGTTTTTCCAATAGTCGGTGCGTGTATTCTGCTACACGTTTACTAAGTCCTTATTTTCTAATATTTTAAAGCTTATCGTATCGTTGAACCATGCTTTATATTTTCTTCAGAAGAACCCAACCCCCTTTTGAAAACTGAAACGGCACATTTCGACGCAACCTACTCGAATAAGAAATACCTCCGATCAATCGTATTCGTCTCGAAGCCAGACCTCCGATTTCAAAATGGCGTCAAGAGGAGCGCGCGACGCTCCGGACCCTTTGAACCCGATAAATTTCAGGGAAACAATTCCGGGAGTCGTCTCGGAGGACGCCTTTTCAGTTTCGTGAGAAGTCTCCGCTCCGCTTTTCGATCTCCGGTGGCTGCTACGCTTCGTCGTCGCGTTCGTTGAAATATCGCGGGCGCGCGAGACGCGTCTGGGTCCTCGGGATTCCGTCGACGGAGGATCTCGGAGCGACCGAGAGGGCGGACGGAGCCGAGTTACTTGTTGAGCGGGCGTCTGTTCACGTGAAACAGGATACAGTCGACCCGGGGGGCGAAAGAGGGTCGGTCCGGAGTACCCAGGAAATTAGATCACCGTGGAGGATTGAAGGGCCCTCCTGCCACGGCGGAGACAGTCGGAAAGGCAGCGCCGGAAAATGCATTCCCGGACGGCGAATACAAGCCAAGCCTTTCGATTTCAAAGTGGTATCGATCGACACCTGCCCTGCATCGAGGACACGTCACCTCGGCAGAGACGGTTTCCTACCTTTTCGATCCCTGTTCGATCGTTTTAATCAAATTCAGACTTCTGCGGGATTCTTTACATTCGAAGGGAGAATTTCTGTGGGAAGTGGTTCTCGTTGCGGGTTAAGTTGATTGGTAAGCTTTAGTCTTGGAGGAGTTATCGCTTGTGAATAGGCAGAATAGTCAATGCGGTTAAGTCGGTTTTTTGATATTTTCCTGATTTCTGTACATTTTAACGGAATAAATAATATTCTGTTTAGTTTTTCAAGGATTCATTTCTTCATTTTCTCTAGGCCAATAGCTTACTATTCTCTTTACAGCTTCCGAATATATTGTATAATCATTTCAGAAGCCAAAACATTCATTTTCTCGATTTTTCTTTTCTGGACTGAACCGCGTTGGCTTCCTAGCAGCAAAACAACTGTTCCAAATCCACCAGCGACACAGATCTGCCGACGGAGTTAATAAAACGGATTATTGATACTTTCCCCCAAGGAATTTTGTAACCCGTGTAACACTGGATCGCGAAGGGCCGCGTTTAGGTAGCGACTTTACGCGAGCCACGAAAAGAAAGGCGGCTGGGGCGATGTTTTTATTAGCTCTAGCCAGGCGAGAAGTGTAGAGAGCAAGCAATACCATTAACCGGCAGACCCCTAAACTTGGCGAACTCAATCCCATTTCGCCTCGGTGGGAGGAACGGGATTTCCAGGCCTGTTCCCGGCGCGCCGGATCAAACCCGCCGCCGCAGCCGCCAACGCTCGTTCAACAAGAAAAGAAACGTCCTTCCCTTTTCGCCTAACGTTGCCGATTTTACGTCGCCGCGGGCTCGCGCTGTTGCCCGACCAAACTCAATTCCGATACCGAACACCGTGTAGAAGCCGAAACTGCGGTCGAACCTTCGAGGTCCTGTGACGAGGCCGACTCGATACTCGATTTTACTTCGACCGAGCTGGCTGCTTCGCAAATTTCTGCTGTTTCTGTTCGGAATATCGTTAACTACTGGTAATTGCAGTAGCAGTCGATTACGCGATTAACAGTTTAGATAAATCTAGGCTTGAGAAGAAATTTTTCAAATGCACTCGCGAAATTTGATCGTACAGATTTTCGGAAATTATCCAATTTCAGTTCAAGAATCTAGATCAATGAATTTCAATTTTCTCAACGTTCTGAGACATCTAGAAGGCGAGAAATAAATTGATCGAGGTCGTGCTGTATGATTTTAGCGTTTCTCAAATCCCCGATTGAATTATCTGATAGGATTATCGCTCTCTGAATAGAAGCATTCGTAAGATTTAATATCTCCGCTATGTTGAATCAGGTCGTGAATATTTTAAACGAAAAAATTTGAAAAACGAAAGAAGCGGAATTGAAAATTTTCCGAAGCCTACGTTTTCTGTTTTCTTTTCTCTCGGCCAAGTTCTTTCTTTGTCGCGATTGTTGCGACCAGTTATTCGAAGTTTGATCGATAAATCGTTCCCGTTCCATTGACTCCGGTCGAAGGTGTTGACCGTCTCCGTTGGACAACAATTTTTCGTTCACGGTAACAAACGGTTTTTGCCACGCGACGAAAGATCCAGGACGCGATGACAGAGCCATCGAATGGAATAAATGGCGCGAATACGATGGCATGAAAAAAGAATCCATCCGAAACAACGACTTTCAATTAAAAGCTTTTCCGCTCGCTCGCGTCTATAATTTACCGGCGGCCTCTGTATTGTATGCACGCGCGTGTATACGTGCCGGATTGATTGAAAATTTCTTCGATTGTTTCGAGGAGTTTCGCTTCGTTTAATCGAACGTCGAGTAATTACGTGTTGCCTGGTATTCTTGTTAACTTTCTATCACTTTTAAGTGCATTCGTTTATAATTCTTACTCGTGCGTCGTCACACAAGCGACGTTAAAAAGAAGGAATAATCTCTTAATTCCACGATGGAGGGACGAACTTCGGTTACATAAGCATAATAATTTTTAATGTTGCTAATCAGAGTTAGAACGGTTCTTTATATTTTTGCTATTGAACTAAGAATATCAGTTTTGCAACATTTTTTGCTCGAGAGAACAATCTGTAGATGTCAACCCAGTTTCGCCATAAAACACACCGCGTATATAAAAATGTGTGTATATTCGAGTTACACAATAGGGGCAGTATTTAATCGAACAACTCAATTGTCTGCAGTAGCTGACCGGAATAATGTCACGCCGCTTCCACCGGGGCGGACGCCAAAAACGCGTCGGGAATAATAGCCAGAATAATATGCAAATTCGATATAATATTTTACGAAACCCCGGTACAATAAACTGACAAGACAATATAGAATACCACAAATGGTCGTACAATCAACAATACTCTCCAAAAAACGGGAAAAACGAGACAAAATTCATTCCGCGCCGGACAGGAATACAAATAACCAAATATTTCTCTTCGCGCTGCGAGTAATTTCCTTCGTCAGCGATATACAAACGTATTCAATCTTGCGATAAACGATTCTTCTGATTCCCCAAATCGCATAATCTTCGGTTCAATCTCCACTTCATTCGCGGAACAATCGGAGAAATACGAACGAAACGAAATAACGAATCGTTTCGCTAGTTTGCCACCTGAAATTCCTCGCTTCCGCTGCGATTTTCCGCGTCTACGAGAGAACGGTCCACGATAATCGTACGAAACCGGTGCCCGCGAAGTGTCGGATTACCAAAATTCACTGCGACCGTGAATTTAGAGCGGGTCGTGGTATTTTCTGGCGATAATCCTAATTCCTCCTGGCGGCGGCCTTCGCCCGGCGTCTTCGCTGCTCGGACGCAGCTCGCACGTAACGACGTTTGTCCGCCATCTCCATCGATACCCAGTGTTCCGCGGCGATCCTCGCGATCACTTGGGACGGGCAATCGTTCTCGTATCGGTCGCGCAGCTCCCAGTAATAATGGATGAAAGGGTTGATCGAACGACAGACGTTGCCCCTCGTTTTGTCGCTACGACGTGTTCGACGGATGTTACCGGACTCCCACGATCGGACCACGCGCGTCGATTTTACGGGTAACCGCATTGTCGATGCGTTTGCAGCGTCGATACGGGTGTGGATATTTTAGGCGAATATGTCTTACTGCGGAATTTTGTGTGCAACTACCTATTTTTCGATAGCGACGGCCTAGAGCTGTGGATATTTCGACGACCGATTTGAAGTTTCCGGAGAACGATAGCTAATCGATACATAGCTTTTCGTTTTTGTTCTTTCCTCGTATACAGGGTAACCAGTTATTAAAGCATCTGTTTTATATTCGGTAATAACGATGCGATGAAACATCTACCGTTTCATCGAATATTCTTCTAACGCATTGAATATTCAAAATCCATTATAACTTGGTCTAATTAATATGGAAAGTTCGAAAGAGATTTTCCAGCGAGCAGACGACAAATATTCAGGTTACTGTGGTATTAAAGCTCGACTTACATAGCGCTGCGAGTGTCAGGAATATCCCGGTTGCTGGGAAGACCGTCGGAAGCCTCCTGATTGAATTTGTTTCGCGCGTACGGATCCTCTCCCGCCCGGAGACCTCCTCTCGAGACGTACCTTGAAAGAAAAATCGGTTCCGGGATATTATTCGAAAGTTCCCCGGCGAAGCCAACGAGCCGTGAAAGCATCGAAGATAAAATCTCGTTACGGGCTCCGATCCTTCGGAATAATTAACGCCAGTTCCGAAACTCGGAATCCGTAAACTCGGCTCGCGTTAATACTGGATATCACGGGGACGTCTTTTCGACCATTTAACAATGCATACGACCGACACTGGTTATTAGTATTCAGTTCTCGATACCCGGCCGCGGGAGGCGGCTGCATCCTAACTACTTCGCAAATACTTTTCATCACTGTTTCGTCAAAGTTCTACATTAGTTTCCCGCTCCGCCTCGTTATACATGCGATAAATGCCTCTCCCTGCCTCCTGAATAAATCTGTACCTGGTTACGTGCTCCCGTCATCGAGATAATGTTTCCAGCCTTTCAAACGTGAACTCGCGGCTACTGATTTCTAGGCGGTGATAGCCTTATTTTCGAAAAATTCAGAAAAACTAAGAAATTCAGATTTTTATACGAAACTGAAAGATCTTTATGCAATCATATGAAATCTGCGATCTAATAATTAGCATCTGATCGTACGATGATAAGGTTTTGTCGTAGAATAATTGAATGTAACATTGTTAAAAGACAATAACGCCAATGACAAGACGAAAACTGTGGGATTGTCGAGCGACTACTGGTATGAAATAATCGTTACCCTTGCTCGTCGAAGTAGTTCCATGTCACCCGAGGATCCGGAGTGGGCGCGGGCAGCAGCTCAGACGACATCACAATGGCGGTGCCATCTGGATCCACATAGTTGCCGGAATTTCCGGCGGAGAGGGCCAACGAGGCCGGCTCCTTCAGTCGCAGCGCTCTGTTTTCGTTCTGTAAGCAAACAAAGATCCTCCTGAAAGCGGGTTATTAAATTTTCTGCCGGAATTCAGCCGCTCCTGGCAAACACTGTCCTCAAAGAACCTGGACTCCGTGTAAAGCGTTTCGTTACGCTGCTAATACAGATTATTAGGTCCAAGCTTATTAATATAAATTCCGAATATTACACTGTCTTACGTTTACCGTGTCTGCGAGGTGATAGATCTAGAAGACTGATGAATTTCTTCGAGAAAAAGGAGATTCGCGTCGTCAGAATTCTTTTACTTGTTGAGTCAACCACGTGACTTTAATAATCGTCCAAAAACAAAGACTACGTACGAGATCTTTCAAAGAAAATTCAACGTCAAAGACAATCAAGTACAAAGCCCAGAACTCGCAAGATTCTATAATCGAAAAATCCGCAAAAAATCCAACCGTCCGTCTCACCGGCGAACAGTCGATCTCCTATGGTTGCGTCTACATCAAAGTTATCTCCGGATGTCAGTGTCGATGCAAGAAGCCCTAGCCCTTCGCAGCTATTTAGCTAGCGAAGTCTTTAGTTGGCTTCGATGCAAGAAGCAGTTGTACGGTGACGCTGGTGGAAGACAGACGGAAACGTGGAGCAAGAGAGAGAGGTCATTGCACGCCGGGGCTCTTCGCATTGACACATCATCGAGATACGCCGTATTGATTCTGAATCGATACGGAGTCGCGAGGCACTTCGTATCTACCGGTGGCAGCCTTTGTGCTTCTCCTGGCCCGACCCGGCCCTCGTATTGTGCCGCGCAACCGTTGTATATGGGTCATCGAATTTTCCTCATCGACTTCCCATCCAGAGATCCCCGGACCTGCCTGCCTGCCTGCCTGCCTGTCCGTCTGTCTGTCCCGCGTAGATACGTCAGGGACAGAAACGAGAGGATCGTGACGGGTCGACGGGAGATCAGGTGCGCTCCGCTCCGATCAACTGCGATCGGGAATCTTGACGGCTGGCTAGGAATTCTGTGTCCCGATGCGCCAATTATCGGGTCCTTTACGTCTGTGGAGTAGCCCCGTGGCGAGAGGGAGACACAGAATGGACGAAACGCTGGGGAAATGGTTTTCGAACGTGGGCATTCGCGATGAGGGAAGAAGTTCTCAAATTTTTCAGATCGAAAATTCGAAGACTCCAGAACTGTAAAATTGAAAATCTTCGAAAATCGTCCTTCAGTCTCCTCATCTTCATCTCATTTGTAAGTCTTTCCTAGACCTCTTAACACGACGTCAAAGGAGTGTCTCGAGTGAAAATTATTAGACTCCCTTGGATCCCGAATGAGCCAGCTCCGTGGCAAATTTAAAACTTCGAATCAACTGAAGAATGTCATTTACGCGGCATGCAATATCCGCGGCGCTTTTGATCCATTAAATTTTCACGCGCGTCGTTCATACTTTATGAAATTCATAAAATCATGCAACCCAGGTCGAATAAAACACACTAACAATAAAATAACCATGCAACTCCCCGAATCCTCTTTTCCCAGCCACAATATTCAAAAAGAAAATTCACCGATACAAACAAACTAAACAAATAAATCATTGCTGCATTAATGCAACGTTAGGTCAAAGATTCAAGCCTCGAACTTGAGCAAACAATCAGAATCTAAAATCATCCCACTTAATCAAATAACACGCTTCGTTCAGCTATACGAAACCTCTATATAATTCCAAAGAACTAAATGAAAAACTGACTTCAAGGAAAAGTAAACGTCACTTCACCTCGCCGTTATCGGCAACAATAGCTCGCCGCGTTAGGCTCGCCAAGAGAGTTCGTCGAAAGTTTTATTTCGGCAGACCGGACGTCTCGTTTCGCGAGCCGTCACGTGGCTCCCGAGGAAACCGGATGCAACAGCTTGCCGCGCGCGCCGGCCAGCCGACTGCACTTCCGGCCTAGCGCAGCCCCTGACCCGTGAATTAATATTTCATCATGGGCTAGGTTGCGTCGCATTTTCCTACCCCTCCGGCCGCCGCTCGCCCCCATCCCCTTCCAGCGAACTGTTCACCGACTACCGGCTTTCACGGTTCGTTCTCCATCGACTGCTCTTTGTTCCCGTTCGAGTCGTTTACTTCGCTCCGGCCGCGGCGCGGCGTCTTTGACCGTGAATCCACGGACCACGCCATTTACCACCCTCCCGGGAAATATTGCCATTTACAGCTCGTTCTCGAGACACGACGAAAACCGTTCCGCGCGGCCCTTCCTTCCCTTCGACGCTTCCGTTCGACGCATCGATCGAAGATCTCGCGGAACAGAGTTTTTCTTTTCAACTGGGCTCTCTTTCTCTAAATGCAGTTGATGGGGCAGTACAAGAAATTGCTTTGTTTCGGACTAGTGGAGCAACTTTTCAAGATGTTTTCGTTCTAAAATTGCCAATCGCGCGTTATACGTCGATAGTCCTGTTGCATTGCATACTAGATTGTTTCGAAACGTGTCATAGGACTATGCCAAATCTCTGAATACGTAACGTTGTCATGTGTAATTCGGAAAAATGAGGATGGTTATATCAATTAACAGATCTGACGAAACCGTTACTCCACAAAGCATCATCTGGTTAAACCGTAATTCCCCAGAGTCCCGCGCGAGAACGGAAATCGAAAAATCCGCAGTCATTTGGTAACATTTCCAGCATCAGTAACATACGTTCAATATTTGTGAAGGGGATTGAGTCTTCCCACCGCGGAGCGATAGAAAATCCGTCACGTTTAACCGTGACAGTCCCCTCTCGTTTCGCAAAATCAATCGGTCGGGCCGGCCGCGGGGTCCCGTTGTCGGGCTGTCCGACAGGATCGCGTTGCATTATCTCTTCTCGCCTGACAAATTCGTCGCACGTATCCGTCATAAAATTCATTGCGCGTGCGACGATTACGCGGAGCCCGGAAATGCGGCGGCACGGGGCTATCACGATAGACTTAAACAATGACCGTGGCCCGGTGCGCGCAGCTCGGGGGGCAGCGTTCGGCCGCGACGCGAGAACGGAAGCGCGATGGAGAAAAAAAGACGGAGAGGGCCGCAGAGCCGACAGGAACCACGTGCGGCTGCATACAAACGCGCCCGAATCCCTGATACTCGTTATCTCCTCGATTCGCCGAGCGAATCGTGTAGCTTCGCACGTAAATCTCCTTTTTTTATGGAGATCCCGTTCTCCCGTGGGCTTCTTGTGCTTTTTAGTTTCGCGCGATTGAACAGCGTAAACAATAAGTTCGCAATCTTATCGATCGTTGGAAACGAGCGTCGATACTCGAATCCTGGACTCAGCATTATTTATCCAACTTTCGGGAACACTTAAAGAGTAGTTACTCGAAAAAATGATGATAATTGTCCGATCTATACATCCAGCGATTGGTCAGGTTTGTAAAGGTAATCGTGAATTCCATACACGCGCTACCGATATGAAAGTTTGAACTTCTGCTTTTTAATGGAACCGAGAGAAGAGAAAGATGGAAAGGTAAACGGCAACGAAACGAGATTAATCGAACGTGCGGGACGCGTCGCGTCGCGTTGCGCGCGATCGGCGTTGGTAATCCTCTATTTCTTGGTCCCGGCTTTGGCTAACCAAAACCGAGCGGTCCGATATTGCCGCACGGTACGTGATTCCAACGATTATTATCGACGCGGGTCGCATTATTAATCCGGTTATTGCCGCTCGACAATGCGTGCGCAAACGCAGGCGAATTAGAGTTAACGATATTGGCCCGTTTCGATATTGCCGCGCGTCGGGATGCGTTTCCGCGAGTAAATTATGATGACGTTTCGGCCATCCGTCAGCCGGGAATCGTCGTGTCACCGTTTCTATCGTTTCCACCGCCCCCGCGCGCGCCGATCCTCCATCGATGATGCGAATCGTCGCGGGCATTGTGTCGCCGCGAATTACGGTCCGCGCTTTCGAACGGTCGATCTCTCCTCGAGATACGCCGGCGCGTCGATTAGACGCGTCTGTCGAGTTATCGTCGATCCGTAAACAACGTTGTAGTCGCAATTACGAAACGGACGCTCGGGAAACTTGAAAATTCTGTCCTGGAGCTCGCGCCTTGTGTTCTCTTTGACGGTTAAGCAGAGATTACAGCGGAGATTGCGCCGAAAGGGAAATATCATTGCAGTAAAATTTAAACGTTTAAATATCTGGAAACTCGAAAGCTTGGAAGTCTGAAAACTGGGAAAACATTAAAGTTGAAAAGTTTACATTTAATTTGAACTTCGAGCAAGGAGGATCGCTACTTCCGGCAGCAAAGCCTCCAGGGAAGCCGCCCAGACGCTCGGCTGCTAGCAGAGTCAACAGCGTTCGGCGCTAACAAATTATCAGGCTCAAGCACCGATTACCGGGACTACCAGATTAATCAGGGTCAAACGTTCAAGGCGACCAGGTTCCGGCGAGCTTATCAGATCATCAGGATTATCAGAGAATCGGAATTATCGAATGATCGGGAGCAGCGGTCGGTCACCGGGATTAGGTTGCATCTCGTCGAGGGAATTATACCGCGAGACGAGCGGGATCCTCGTCGCGTTACGAATTCCGGGTTCTTCGGCCGTGACGCGGCCTCCCGACGATTTCCATTCCGAGGGATACGCGATATCTCGCGAGATCGGTTTCAGCGCAAGCGCCAGCTCATGCGAAAGTCCGATACGTTTCCCCCTATGGTGAGTTATGAGTAGATTTGCATATAGAAACGCCGCCGCCCGGCCAAAGTAGACAGCTGACACTCGGACGCGACTCTATCGTGCCCATTAAATTCCCGCAGTTTGTCCCGCCTGTGACGGATTAAATATACCGGGAAAGGACGCGTTTGATCGTCCACCGGCGATCCAGTGGATCCGGCTTAAGCCAACACTGTCTTTTGTGACACGCTATACCGTTCCGGCTATCCGCTCCGCAGTATTCCCGCTTTAACGGGCGTCTTTGACGCACTGCTCGGATGATTAGTTTTGACAGCGGGTTGGATACTTAGGGACTTTAGGGATTTCTTTTATGCTTTCACTGACGTCGCAG